CAAGGACAGTGGCAGTTTTCAAGTAGCAGGGTCTTTTAAAGGACTGAGCAGTACAGATAATTGAGTATAGATTATCCCAGTGGGAGGAATAAAAGTATGGTATCGTGGAAGTATGGTGTCATGGTAGCTGTATTTCCTTGAAACAAAGAAATGATTTCATGGTGATGGGTGTTGTGTTACTTCTATACTGTTTATTGAGAGGATGATAGGGAACACGAATGTATCCAGGGCCTTGTGTACAGCATAGTGGAAGCTATGGACAGATGGCCGCAGCTGTTACATGTGACAGTAAGGCAAAAACCCTGGTGACACTGATTCCCCAGTGATGGAAGAAGTGAACACAGTGTTCTCAGACACTTTCTGAAGCTTTGCTAAAATTATTAGTCTAAAAATAGAGCAAGAGCTGCAAGAATCAAATTTTTGTTCAAAGTGGGAGACATTTCAGCATGCTCTTTTTCTTTTTACAGGATTAAAACCATTATGTGTGCATGAGTGTCTCTGTGTGGCTATGTTCATGTGAGTGCAGTGCCTGCAGAGGTCAGAAGGGAGCACTGGCTTCCCTGGAGCTGGAGTTGGAGGTTTGAGCTGCTTGGCATTGGTGCTGGTAATCTAACTCCTGTCTTCTGCAAGAGCAGTATGTGCTCTTAACCACCGAGCCATCTCTCCAACCCATAAGCATTCTTGCTTAACTGGTTCAAGTCATGGTATTTCAACTACTTTGAATATTTTCAAATACCTAAAATGATTTCTTAAATTTACAATTTTGTGATTACGTTTTAGAAAATTCCACACCCACTGCCCTACTCAGGGACATTCTCTTGAGAGAGTACTTACACTTAATTCTTTAAAGCTTGGGTCCTGCCCTGCCCACTCTCCCTGTGGTATGGCCAAAGCATTACTCTCCATTCAGCTCTCAGCAGTGCTGTCCTGGTAGCATCATTTAGGAACCCATGTGTGTTCTGTCTACTCCAGGAGAGTCACCCCTGCCTCGCCTGCTCTTTACATCTATGGACCTAGCTTCTGGGTATCTGCTGGATAATCTGCATCTTAAGGGGGCTTACGTGAGCTAAGCCACCAGTAGACTAGCTACTAGTGACATCTAGCTACAAGTGACATGTGGGGGACTCAAACTTACCGAAACTCACTGAAAACGCATGCTTCCTCGGCCTCTGGGCCATATTTCAGATGCTCAGTAGCCACACATGCTGAAGCTCCTGGACTGGAGGAAGGTGTAGAAGTGGGATGCTCTTGTAGACAGTTGTATTGACAGCATGCTGGACTGGACAGGCTGACTACTACACAATCACTGTAAATGCATTTTTACTACTGATTTTGACGTTTAGTCAAATAAGACTTTGAGATTTTACTCAATGTGCTGCTCATTCTTCAAGAGAACCACATTTTGTGTCAGGATTTAACCACAGTATTCACTTATTGAAAGTGTTCAGTGAATAAAATTTTCCATTGACCGTGGAAAACATTTTCAGGCAAGTTCTCCTGGTTGGCTTAGAATTTTATATTCTGTGGGGGCTAGGTAAGGAATGCCACATATTACCCTAAATAGTGATGGCAGGCATTTCTAGTTAGGGCATTTTTCTTAGTGTCTTTGTGGTATGAAGTGTGGTAGATAGAGGTTCTGAGCCTTGGCCAAGACCATGGCTTCAGGAAAGGAAAACCTAGGGCCCTGGCAGCCAGCCTCCTTCCCAAAGAGCTTTTGAGTCTTTTGGAGGCTGGACCTTCCCAGACAGCAACAGCTACTGGTGTCCACACAGGAGACACCCTTATACTCACATGGCTTTTCCTCCTGTGAAGATTCACAGTCTGGAGGAATACCATACTTGCCAGAGTGTCATCACATGACTTGACTTATCTTAAGGAAGCTCAGAGCTAAACCAGAACAGAGGGGGAAAAATGAAGGAAGGCAGGCTCTCTCCCGTGACTGTTGATAGCAGCAACCTGCAGTAAGGAAGGCCGTCTGCCATGCCTTGTGTGCTTGTGGCATCTCACACTGAACCAGCTGCAAACAGGACTGGTTGTTTTCCAGTCAGATATGAAATGTTCATGGAATCCCAAGAGAAAAGAATGCATTGGCTAAGAGAACATGAATGCCACGTTACATTTCACAGCATACTTCATGCAGAAAAGCAAGCAGAATGTATAGGAACAGCAGGCAGCTGTAGGTGATGGCACTAGAACAGCTGCTTGGGGCTGGCGTCAGAGCTTCATCAGAGTGGGTGATTGGCACCACGGGAAGCAGAAAACTACCTGATACCCACTCAGAGTTCCTAAACAGGCTTTTACTTCAATATTTGCTATTTGTTCAGCTTTAGTCAAAGCTCTTTGTTGTAAATAGTGATAGTTTCCATTCAGAATCTGTTATTTTTATTATGTCCAATGAGCAGTGGTAAAGTTCACACATACACTTGGTCTGATGTCAGGAATTCTGCAGACCAAAGTTTCTTTCTCAAAAGAAATCATTAATTTGAAAATGAAATCTAAGAATATTACGCCACTATTGCACTCTTAAGGTGGTAGAGCCGTATTAGTCATTATTGTGGTGCACAGGTGTTTATCTGGTTAGGACTGTTGGTTGCTTTCCTTTTTTTTGCAAACTTGCACAGTGCCCTTTGAATCATGAAAACTAGAGAGAAAATTAGAGAGAAGGCTTTCAAATCAGTTCCATCTTAGGGTTTCTGGGCACTACATCTGAAGTGCATGGTGCCTTTAGCAGTATGGACTTATCTTCCACCTGTGAGGGGTGATCAGCGTTAATAGCAGTAACATTTAATGTTCTGAGAGTCTCTTGGATAACCCTGCACTGACTCCAAAGATGGCTTCTCAGGCCTAGTGTTTTGGTTTTTGTTAGATGATCTTTGACTTTTCAGGCAGCATTATTGTCCCAGATGGGAGCATGGCGTAATGCAGGCAGATGTGAGGCTGGAGTTGAGAGTACTAGATCTTGCAGGAAACAGGAAGTAGAATGCTTGTCACACCGAGGGAATCTTGAGAAAGAGACTTCAAAGCCTGCCCCCTCCCTCCACCCCCCAGTGACACACTTCCTTCAACAAGGTCACACCTCCTATAATGCCACTCCCTTTAGGGGCCATTTTCTTTCAACCCACCACAGGAATGTTGGAACTCTCTCTGTAGACCAGGCTGACCTCCAACTCACAGAGGCCCGCCTGCCTCTGCCCCAAGTGCTGGGATTAAAGGAGGAAAGTTTCCTAATAGTGTAAATAGATACACCTCCCCTAAAATCAATTTTGAAAGAGGACTAATTAACTCCTAAAATTATGCTTATAAATATGTGTAATTAATCAGCTATTCTGATGTTTGGGAGTAAGGAATTAGCCCACTACATAAATAAGCCAAGGACAAAGCCACACTTGTTGAAGGATGAAGTTTTGGTATTATGTGGGATATAATTTTTGGGACCATAAAAGCCTACAACTCTAGGATGCCCCTTATACTAGTACTGAATTTATTAGTCTAAATTAAATCCAAGCAGGCTGACATCAAATGAATTTAGTGTGAGGCCATGATGGATAAAACAGTATGTATTGCTGCCACCAGCTTTTCCCTCATATTGTGTGAAATACTAAGTGTCCTGTAGAATGGTGTTTTGTGCTTATTAAACTTGTCTGTTGGGCTGGGGAAAAGGTTCACTACATAAAGTGCTTGCTGTAAAAGCTGAGGACTGGAGTTCAGATTCTCAGAATATCTAAAAGCTGGGTGAGCATAGCAAGGAATGGAGATAGGAAGTCGTGGGAGGAAGTTGGCTGGCCAGACTAACTGAACTGGTGAGCTTGGAGCTCTATAAGAGATGAAGCAGAGAGTGACAGAAAACACCTGATGCCAACCGTGGGTGCCTTAACATGCATACACACACTATGTGCCCACACAGGTGCACATATTGTACATAAACATTATCTATTACATATTACATATATTGCATTAAAAAGGCAAGTTCTGGGGCCACCAAGTGGCTTAGCAGGTACAGACACTTGCCATCAAACCTGGCAGTCTGAGTTTAACTCTCAGGACCGCTATGGTGGAAGGAGAAAACTGGCAAACCGCCCTCTGACTTACACATATACACCATGGCATGAGTGCATCCCCTCCCCCCCCCAAAAAAAAAACACTGTAATGTAAAACAAAGACAAAGGTTGGAAGCTTAGCTTCATATGGGAAACCCTCTGGAGAGCTTTGACAACAGGTATATTTAAGGTTTATCCTTAACTTTCTAATTGGCTTGGGGTATGGCCTATGCATGGAGGTTTTTAACAGTTTGTTGGATAATTCCAACATGAATCCAAAGCTGAGACCCACTTGGGACAGATTGGACACCCCTTCAGCTCTCACCTTCAGTTCTGCTAAACTAACAGCTATAAACCACTGTTACCAGCTGTCTCAGCCTGCTTCCTATTGCTGTGATAAAGACCATGACCTCCGGTTGTGGTGGCACATGCCAGTAGGATTTGCTGAAGGAGGCAGGGCATCATGAGTTTGAGGCCAGCCTGGGCTACACATTTTGCCAGGTGGTGGTGGCACATTGGGAGGCAGAGGCAGGTGGATCTCTGAGTTCAAGGTCAGCCAGTGCCAGAATTACATAGAGAAACCCTGTTTCTACCAAAAGCAACTTGGGGGAGGAAAGGGTTTATTTGGCTACATACCTGGGTTACAGGACGCCGAGAGAATGTGAGGCAGGAATCTGGAGGAAGGAACTGAAGTGGAGGTGGAGAAGTGATGTTTACTGGCTTGCTCTTCTTATACATGCTGGGTCGCCTGCCCAGGGTGACACCACCCAGGTGTGCTGGAACCTCCCACATCAGCACACTACAGACTTGCCCACAAGCCAGTGTGATGGCAGCATTTTCTCAGTTGAGATTTCCTTTTACCCAGACAACTTGAGCAGTGTTAAGAAGAAAGGTGTGAACATGGCGGCATGGCCTTCTATACCACTCAGTACACTCAGTAACTCTCTCTCTTTTCCCTTACAGTTTCTTTCTTCAGTCATCGCCATGGTCCTTCTGACGATTTTGAGTGTCACATTGAACCCTCCCCAGAAACTACCAGACTTGTTTTCTGTATTGGTGTGTTTTGTGTCCTGTATAAACTTCATTTTTTTCTTGGTATATTTTAACATTGTAATCATGTGGGATTCCAAAAATGGGAGAAATCGGAAGAAAATCAACTAGCTGTTTTCCCAAACAAATGTAGTCTTTGTTATGTATAAGCAAGAATCCTGGTGTCATAGGAAAAGAAACGGTCAATGCCTATTGTTATCTACACAAACTGTGTATGGACCAAAGCACTTGTTTTTAAAGTATTTTTTGCTAAAGCATATTGTAATTTTGGTAATATTCACAGATATTTAAGTGCTAAATTAAGAAAAAAAAAATGTCCCAGCTGGTTGAGGTAGCTCCTTTCTGCAATCTTAGTGGCAGGAAGACCTTGCTTCAAGGTCATCCTTGGTTACATAGAAAGTCTGAGGCTAACCTGGGTTATATGAGACTCCTGTCTCAACAAAAAAGGGAAAGAAAAAAAAAATGTCCTTAATGCCAATATCTGATAATGGAATGTATTCTAAAGATTATGTTTTTTTTTTTTTTTTAAAAAACTACAAATATAGTGATTTTATTAGAAGAATTAAGCTTCTGTTAGAAAAATTAAGCTTCTGTCTTGTTTGAACTTTAGCAAACAAATAAGCATCTCATTTAAAGATGCATCTCAGGGAGTTAACTTTTTTAAATTACTGAGATGGTATGTTGTACTGTTTGAAATTTGAATATGCATTCCTACATAAGCAAAACTGCATGCTTAATAGATTGCATGGTATTCTTATTTCAAAAAACATAGAATCACTTGGTTCCATTTTTTAAAGAGAACTTTATTGAATATGAATAAGAATTTGAAGTCTTTTTGGTTATTTATGTTATTAGTTCTACATTTCTAAATTAAACTACCTTATCAAGGATTCCATCTCCCTTTCTGTTACCACATTTAAGGTTTCCACAGACACAAGTGTTTATTCGGCTCATGCTTCCTGTCTCTTTGTCCTATAGATACCGTTTTCTCTTCTCCTGTGCTTACTCTGGTCTCAACTGGCAAAAATCATGTGTTATGTTTCACTTTCTCATGGAAATTTGTTTTAGTCTTAAATAGAAATTAAAGTCACTTTACATTAGCCTATTTTGAGTATATATCTTTCATCAATTAAGTCACTAAATAGCATATTCTAAAGTAGTATAAAGAATTGATCCTGGACGCGGCAGCCATAGGCTGATGAAGAAAATATGTACTTCTGAGTCTGATAAAGGAAGTGGGCCTAGACAAAGCAAATGTGTGCAAGGGTTCAAAGGGCAAGATCAGCACAGAGAAGCAGCCTCGGTCACTGTTCATGGCCACAGTCTATACCATGGTCCCTCCTGACAGCATCTTAGCTGGCTGGTTTAACCTTAACTCTTATTTTTTCTTAATAACATATCTAATTTGAACACAGAGATGCTGATTTCCATTAATGACAAAGTTCTAACTTCTCAGAAATTCAGTAGAGCCACCTTATTACTCAAAAATAAAAGTAATTAACAGTATAACATGTAGCTAGATTCGGGGTTTCTTCCCGGTCAGAATTAAGAGTTCCGTGTTCTTTCAGATACACTTTAGAATGAAGAGGCATTCTTGAGAAATGCAGCTCTTTCCATTGCTGATGCACGTGGATTTGCTTCTTAAGGAAAGAAGAGAATAGGGTGTGGGTTCATGTATCATGTGAAGTTCACCAGAATCTTTATCCTTTGAGGCCTTAGGGAAGGGCAAGAGTCTGTCCAAATCATAAACCAGTAAGGGAGCAAGACAGCACAAAGGTTCTACAGGAAGGGACAAAACACGGACAGGTTACAGCTTTAAAAAAAAAAAAAAAAAAAAAAATGGCTAGAGGAACACAGTGGTTCTACTTCTCAATGGGTTTCTTTTTTTTTTTGTTCACTGGAATATCTGGGCCTGCTACATCCCTCCTTCCCCCATATAAACATTAGTTTTGTGTGTGGATTTTTCTGCTTTGTCCTTCATGTGGCCTCTAAGGGTGATAAAGCGAGAGTCATCTGATCTACAATGAAGAGAACTGGGAAATGATTCTCAGCAGACCCAGCTGTTCTGAAAGGCAAGTGCTCAGTACATCAAGAGGTCAAACACACAGTAACTGCGCGTAACACATGCCTACGCAACTCAACTACATGTGAAACGAATCTGCTGCTTAACCCTTTGTTTTCTAATGCACGGTACTCTATAAAATGTTTTCACTTGTGCCCTGGTTTTCAGTGTTAGAACAATGATCTATATTAGTATTTTTTATAACATATTTGAAGGATCATATCAAAAAGTACCCTTGATATTTAACAGACAGATATTCAAAATATCCTGCTTAAGTAATTCCTGGAAACCAGAAGGCAATTAGGTCGAATAGTTGATTATACTACTACTTAATACCTATTGCTATTTATAGTGATAGTTTTTTTTAAACACCTTTAATGTTTAAATGTTTCTAAGTGGAAAATGAGTTCTTTTCTTGATTTTTGCTTCACATTTTCATACAAGATTTTTATTTTCAAAGTAATACTGAGCTAAGTGACATCTCAGACTAATTTTGTCAAGACATACTTAGGGCAAGTACCAAGAGAACAGCATTTCTTTCCTTGCAGAAGTGGTGTGTACAAGTTTTAGAAACCATGTTATACAGATGTGATACAGTTGCTGATTTTCCTTCCCCTCTATCCTTACAGTACAAATAGATTGTAATGCAAACACCACAGAATCACACATCTAAGCTATTGCATCAGATAATGGGGAAGCAGTCATGTTCTGCCATTAGTTAAGGTCTTTTCTTTAAGCTCATAACCAACTTAATACTTAAATGTCTGTCCGGAAAATTCATCCCAGTGTTCTTTAGATGTGTAAAATCTTAAAACATTCACAATAATTTTCTCTGAGCAGAGGAACAATGTACATCCGAGACAGTTTCCACAACATATTACCAAAGTTTCAATAAACATAAAATGGCCTCTAAATTAGTAAATGGCTGGGGCTGTCATGGTGTGTTGAGAGATTCAGTAATGGACTTTGTAGAGGATGTTACTCTACAAAGGTAGAGTCATAATTCTATCCACAGTGTTAAACGTAGATAGACACATAGGTGAGGCACAGTGTATGTCAGGACTCTCCTGTACTGCAAGGGTTACACTAAAGGGTCAGGAAGAAATGTATTATTTACATTGAGATTATCTAGTGGTGTGTGTAGAAAGTTTAAATTAGCTGCAAGAAATTTTATCTAGACTTGCACCTGCCTAGTGCTACAAGTTGGTATTTACTGGGCAGATTAATTACACACATTTCTTCTGTGTCTTTAAATATGATCAGGCAGATGCGGACGCTGTTCACAGTGAGTACATTTCTTCTAAGTGCCTTTGGGATATAGAAGATGGTCATTACATCATCAAGAATTAGTTTCCAAATTAACATACATCTCATACATCACTAAGTGGTTTAAATGCTATTTGCCGTGTAATTTGGTGCCTACTCCAGACACTGGTGAGCTCTCATTTGCTGATTTTTGAGATTCACCTTCACAAATTAGTTTGGTTATTCTGACAGCACTTTTTATTTTGCATGAAGAAATGTAAGAAATACTTCTGAGAGAATTTTGATACTTGAGCATGACCCAGGGAAAACACAATTTAGATGCCTTCGCTACATGCCTTAAGGGACTTCCAGCAGGTGCTTCCTAGAACAGCTGCCAAAAAGGGAGTGTGTGGTGACTGTGACAGATTCCTACTCAGTGTGTCCCACTGGGGACTCCTAGTGGTGACAAGAGGACTTGGGAGCACTGTATCAGGGAAGATACTGACAATGGTTGAGATAAACCTTTCTGTAGGCATGTGGCTCTTTTCCTCCCTGTGTTCACCAGCATTAGAAGTCATCAGGAGTAGTGGGCTTGGGAGATGGCATTTGGATCGCTAGAACCCATATGAAGCCGAAGGCAGCAGCACACATCTGTATGCCCATCACTCACTGGGAGCTCGCAGGCCAGCTAAGTTGGTGCATGCATTGGTGAACAAGAGACCCCATCTTAAGGTGGAAGATAGGCTGACACCAGAGGACCTGAACCATAGTATATGTATTCCCACCCCACACACGTACAGACATACAAACAGAGTTCTGCATAAAGAGGCAGTGCATAATGGACTCCTTTATTTTTTGCCTATTTAGAAAAATCCACAAATACTCCATTTCCTGTCTTAGAAGAAGGGTTGCGAACTTAACAGTCCACTTTCAGTGACACTTCATTTCACTCTGGGCTTCATTCTTAATGGGCTGACTAATGCCCATGTAGATTGACACAGTTACCAGACTTGAAGGGAACACTATAAAGGAGAGAAAAGCTCTTATTAAAATGTTACCATGGAGGAGATGCTAGTTAGGCTAAGTATGCAATTACTCTCACAAGGTAGGGTCACAAGCCCTCTTTATAATCCATGAGTAGGATTATGGCTAGGTATTGGAATTAGCACTGAACGTCTTTGAAATATATATATATATATATATATATATATATATATATATATATATATATATATTTGTAACACCAGACATTGCAAAGTTTTCATCAGTTGACCCTGATTGCTAGAAAAACTAATGGAAAAGATTTTGAGGTCAAATCTAGAACCAAGCAGAAAATTAGAGTTTTGTTATGGTATAACAGATAAAGGCAGTATTCCTCCTTCATCGCAACCATATATTTTAAGGCATACTTCAGAAGTGTCCTCATAATCTATGCTGCTGGGCCACCTCTGAACGAGGCTGGTGACTGTCTGTGTTACTCTGAACCCTTCCTTAGACTCATTTTCTGATATTTTGTGTTTATGTAGACATAGTTATCCAGCACATCAAAATTACCCATGTTTTAAAGCCAGGTATATTTAGTACATGTCTGTCATTCCAGCACTTAGGAAGATGAGGGAGGAGGATTGAGGTTAGGCCTGGCTATTTTAGTGGAATCATGTCTTAAGAGATAAACAAAGAGCAGGCTTTCTCAGTTCTTCTATCTGGTAAAGTACAGGGCACCTGTTAATAGAATGTAAATGGCTCCCAGACAGAGATAATGTAGAGTGGAATTAGTAGGATGGTCCCTCCCCTCCTGTACCACATACACGCTTGCTGTAAAGCCCAGGAGTACAGCTCAGCCTCCCATGCACTGGGATTACAGCTATGTGTACCACACTGGGCTGGAGCTGGTGTAAAGTTGCCGGTCTCTAATTACCTTGTCACACTTCCCTGAGTCTATCTATGTCTGTGGTGAACTTTCTAACACAGCATTTTCTTCACTAGCATTCACAGCAGAAGGCAATGTTTATAACTATTATCGACTATTCCTTGCTCTACACCTCATGAAAGGCAGAATCCAGAACGTTTACTGGCCTACATTTTACTGATATTATAGGTCATTAATTTTTACACACCATTCTTTCCCATGTGTAGTTTCACTGTAGCTGCCTATCTCAAGTTCATGGGCCATTGTGTTTCCTAGCTGCACCTTGTCCTCACCTGTCCAGCTCAATTCATGAACAGAAGGCAGTGTGTGGGCTTGGGGCAGTGCACGGAGCTCAGGGTTAGACACAGTGTGGATTCCGGTTCTGCTGTAAGGGCCAGTCCATTTTTTTGTGCCAGAGGGCTTGCCCTATGGGACATCTGTTTTTCCAGGCTAACATTTTGATCCTCATTAGAGTTGCAATTTTTGTGGAATGGACCAGAACCCTAGAAAGTCTGAACTTGTATGATTTAGTATAGCTCAAAATTCTGTCTCCACATCTCAAGTGCTGCTAGATCATGTCACTTCTGAATGCATTTTGAGTTTTTAAGCCAGCCTGAGTGATGAAATAAGAATACTTGAGACAGCTTAGCAGCTGAGACTAAGACTGTTGAGTCCTCCTTGGAATGGAAGCCCTCTTCATGAGGTGAGTCGGAGGCATGGGTGAGATAAAGAAAATGTCCAAATCAAGCAAGGCATCTTCCACTTAGTGAACTACTGAACACATCACATCGTGATATACTGATAGTTTATGTTATAGTGACTAGGAAAAGATCACCTTTACAAAATAGTAGTAATGGCTCTAAAGGAAAGTTGTAACTAATTAAGTTTTACAGTGTAAGTTAAATGTTTTTGCATGAACAAAACAGTGAAATTTAGCAATGTTAGCTGAGTTAGAAAAGCAAGACATTACCTCAGTTCAAAATGGCTTTCAAGAATTCAAAGCTGTCAAGATGATCTTCTATACGAAAAAAGAATTTTTTTTTTCAGAAAAGAGTTCAAAATAACTTGCACACTATATGATAAAAAGTAAATATTGGATCAAGTGAAATTAAAATAAAGTTGGGGACTGGAGAGATGGTTCAGCAGTGAAGGGCATTACTGCTTCTGCAGAGGACCCAGGTTTGGATCTCAGCACTCATGCAGCAGCTTACAAGCATCTACAACTCGTTTTAGGGGATCTGATGCCCTCTTCAGTACCCTCTGTGGGTATTGTATGCATGTGGCACATTTACATACATGCAGGAAAACATGCATACACATAAAATAAAAATAGATATATAATTTTTATTTCAATATCTTAGAGGTAACTCTGCTCCTACTTCAAATATATATTTTAAAATGATAATAGCCAAGATGTTTGTTGTATGCCTTATACAGTATATCATTACAAAGAGTATCAATATGCAATGCTGTTGTTGTACTTTCATTTTCTTGTGCTGGAATCTACACCCCTGAGAGCAGGACAATGCGTGTCTTGTTTTATTGGTATCGCTAAGGTCAGAAGACTAATTTATAACAGGCATTCTATAAACATTTAATTAATGAGGTACATGAAGACAGCCATCATAAGCATTTGAAACATTAATCCCGACACTTGGGAGGCAGAAGCAGGTGGATCTCTGATTTTGAGGCCAGCCTGGTCTACATGGCAAGTTCTAGGCTAGCCAGGACTACATAGCGAGACCCCATCCAAAATAAATCAACCAACCAACCAATTCAACAAAACCAAAAAAAGTGTTTGAAAATGCTTAGATAATTTTTGGAATCAGACAACACTACAGTTTTGCCACTGATAGATAATATTTTAAAATCATAGACTAGACATTTATCCATTCACTGAGCTACATAAAGGGCCTTCAGTCTGGTTCTATGTAAGTACTTTACTGCAGTTACTCCCAGTCCTTTCTCCAGATTCTGCAATGCACCAAAAGGCCAGGATTCTGAGAGTGAGGATGCACTACACAAACACACTTAATAGTAACTAACAAACACGGACAAGTGCTATGGGAGCCTACAACATGAAGCAATGGTGCGTCAGCTGGGAGAAGGGGGAGCTTCACAGAGGATGGGCCGCTGGGGCAGACTTAACAGTTAGATAGGCAGGAGAGGAGACGGCAATGTAGCAGAAGGAAAGCGGCAGAGGGGACCAGGCATTCCACTGGGCTGAAATTAAGTGAATACAAATGACCTCCCTTCTCTTTGGTGTCTGTGATGGACAGCAAACCACCTCAAATAATTAGCTAGACAAATATACTTTGTTACATATGTGTCTAAAATATGTATGTCACTTAGCAATTTGATGTGAGTCTTGGGGGTGGGGTGAGTTTTTCTGACTGCTTTTCAGGGTTAAAATGGAAACTGTTCACCTGTCAGGTGACAAAAAACCAATTTCTATAAATGTGCCAGGATAGTTCTTCTCCTCCTCAAGAACAGCCAGTCCTCAGTCTATTCATTACTGTCTTTTTATAGTATTTTTATTTAATAAAACCTATTAAGTCTACCATACAAATCTCTTTACTTATGCTTTTATCTTTTAACTGATCAATTTTTATATTGCTGACATCCCTTCTTCACCGTTTGTTCATTTAAAAATTCATAGTATGTGAGCTATGTCTCCAGGGAAGTGTCTATAAAATTTGTTACAGCTGGCAAATGTGTATGAGTCAGTGATAGCACATGACTAAATGCTTCACAGAAAATAAAATTTGTTTCTGTAGTAAGCAGAACTGTTTAAATGTTATTTATTTTTATGTTTCAAAGAAAATATATTGTGAAGTGCTGCATTGATTTAAAAGGCAACAATGTCTGTGTACATGCTGTAGAAGGGAAATTTATGAAACCTTTGCACAACTCCTTTAATTGAATTTTCCAAATCTCTCACCACACACAAATAATCAATATCTTCTGCAGAGAAAACCAGTCAGAATTATTACAGTCTTTCTTTTCAATTTTGTTGTCATCAGCACATAAGAACACCTGGATATTTGTACTGTCTGCTTGTAAGATATTTACACCTTTTAAACACATAATTGCTATTAAGTGAGTCCAAATGTATAATTTTTAACATTTGCTACAGATTTTTTTCAATAGGAAAATTATTATACTTTAAATAAAGCATAAAAACTTAAATTATGGAAGAAAATTATGTAAAAAGACTTTGAAAAGTAAGAAACATGTTTGGTTTTCCTTAAATCCAAGGCAAATGTTAAGTAGGCATTTTCAGCAGTTGGTAGTATTCCCCAAACAGTGATGACTGGCATAGAATAAGAATATTATCAACAGTAGAGGTCCGACCCATGCAGCATGCATAACATATAAGGGGCTGAGGGCTGCAATGTACATTATTAACAATGTACAAATTAATGTACAAAATTAACAGCTATCTCCAAATAAACCCAAGAAAGCAACATGGGGGAATTTTTAAGAGAATCTTCAAACGCAGATGAATTTTACAATGGATGTTAACTAAAGAGAACAGTCTGTGCTTCTTTCAAAAGACCACAGCTAGAAGTTCTGAAATAGTTTCTATTACAAATAGCTGAGACAATCAACTTTTTTGAACATTGTAAAGTTCAGATGGTTATTCTGCATTTGAAATATGCATTCTGCAACCTACACAATTATTCTCAAAACATAAAATATGTTTTGGACTGAAACTAAGTGTCTTGATTTCTTATCTTGGCAACTGCTCTACAATTTGCTTACATTCTTTTCAAAAACATTTTGTTTACTGGAATTCCTAGACACAGACAAACAATGGTGACATTTTTTAATATCTCTAGAAAAAATGAAAATGCCAAGTGCTACATAATGCCATCTATTGACTAAGGGATATCTGTGTGAGGTTGTTTTTAGTAGAGGTTGGTTGAGAAAAGTAAATACATTTCATGCCTTACCATGTGATGACAGTGTGACATTCCATCTGTCTCAGCCCACTGAATAGTCAGATGTCTTAAATCTTAAGCGTAGCAAATTTAAAATAATTATGAAAATTCACATCCAAATCTAACAGAAAAGAAATCTTTCATTTCATTATTTTCCTAATAGTCATAAAGCCAATATTATTAAGGAAAGTGAAGTTAGTCTTATATCCTAAGTCACCCAAAGAAGCCTTCCTTTGTTTGAGAACCTTGGGTTTAGCGGAGGAGGGAGTGCCTGTTGTTCACATAGTCTAAGAAGGCATTCTGATTCATAAGGTCTTATGAAAAGCTTAGTGACCTCTTCAGATTATCGGGGATGTTTTACATTTCTCTTAGTTACATGAAGCCGGCACAGTGTATGTCAGGTGCCTGCTTAATGCTGGAGTGCCATCCTTCCTACAGTAGCAGCTGCATGTGGTACTGAGGGAAGGGAACAGGCACCAGGGGGAAAGCGTACAAGACCAGTGGTCAGTGGCCATGGAGATGTTGCAGATTCTCCTGCAATTGCTCGCTTTAATTATTTCAGGAAACCTTTAGAGGAATTACTACCGTCACCCTAAAATGGCCACCTTAGGGACGTGCTGTTGATAGCGAGACAAGTGACTGTCCTACTCCCACTTTCCTGATTACAAAAATGGAACAAATTTAGTGTAAAGTATAAGGGCTGATTCAATAAAACTATGTCTGATGTCATGAAGATTCACAAGATGTTTTCAAATTTATGCAAATCTGGATAATAAAAGAAATAAGTAAAGTAGGAAACATAAGAATCAAAGCCCAATCTCCAAGGGAACATACAAAGCAGACCAGTCTTAGATGTTACAAAACTTACCAAATGCTTCTTAAAATCAGTATGTAAGAAGAGGTGAGAGTTGTTAATTTAGCAAGGAAAAGTCTGCGTGTGCGAAGGTGTGTGTGTGTGTGTGTGTGTGTGTGTGTGTGTGTGTGTAGCATCTTTAATGACAAAATAACCACATTGAAAGTATGTACAGCAGGGACCAAAGGAAGCAGCGAGGGAAGCATCCAGTGAAATATAGATGCTCAAATTCAAATCACACAAGAAGCAAGCTCTCATAATTTGGAAAGTGAAGAACTTTTACTACCTTAGAAGATAGAAAGAGCTAATGTAGCTTGTGCCATATAGAAATGGAGGATTATCAATACAAATACATGATCTGTATGGTGTATAAGAACAACACATAGTGGTATATGTTGTGGGAACTCATTCAGCCAATGGGATACTGGCCCATTAAGGCGTCATCTGATGTGCTATGTGGGAACAGATAACGGGGAGCAGAAGAGTGTTATCGCTCTCTTGGGTGGTGGTCACAGATAGGATCACTGCTTCCAGTGCCTCTGGGCAGAAGACCATGGCAGTTCTCTACCATATTTGTTATTCGTGAGTGACTCCCCAATAAATGCCTGACTTCCCTTTATTCTGGGCTCTCGTGGACTCTATTACAATCATCCATTACAGGTTTATAACATGAAAAAGGTTTTTAAATTAATCTTTTATTGTAATAAGTAACTAATGCCTACTGGAAATCTCAAAACATGATATAATTTCTTCTATGAATGAAAGAAACATAACAAGATCCTGGTACTACAAAGTTGGTCTTACATAAATGCACAAAGAATTGAGGTGCAGTAGATAACGGAAAGGAATGGCATATTATTCAAAAGCCCCCTAACAGATTTTAGAAAAGTATGAATACTTTTGGAAGTTCCTTAGAATTATTTGAGGGCTAGTGAGATGGCTCAGTAGGTGAAGACGCTTACTGCCCAAGTCTGACAATCTGGGTTTGACCCTCAAGAGCCACATGATAGAGGGAGAGAACAGATTCCTCTAATTTGCCGCTGACCCCTGTGAGTGTGTCATGGCACACGTCCCAATAAATAAATTAAATGTAATCATTTTAACTAATTACCTGAGAATTTTCCCTTCATTTCCCCAAATCTGGTAAATGCCAGTTTTAATTATTAACAGTTTAGGAAAGTATGGATTTAAAAATTATGTCATCAACATAGACAATGGCGAAGATTTCTTCCAATTGGGAAATAATAGATACATAAATGTCACAATCTAAATCTTGTCAGGTTAGGAAAGTGAAACAGTTACAGAGTGCAATCAAGCTCTGAAGAGCTAAAGTAGGAGAGGGGACCCCCAATCTAGTGATGGGTGCAGGAGCAGGCTTTATCTCTCTCTACAACAGCTTTGGAGGCATCCTGCCATGGCTGGTACCCTTGGATAATACTGCTAGCCTATGTATCTGACTGGATTCTGGTATTACCACTGGAGGTTACTGTTCAAGTCCTAAGCCCAGTCAAACATATTAGACGGGTTGACCCAGTGCTAGTTATATTAAAGTATAATCTGAAAGCTGGGGTGGCCAGCTGACTTCACTTGTTTTGGAAATTAACATGAAATCATGGAAAGGCAAGATTTTGAGCCATGCTGACCATTAGCTGGAGTCCCTGCTCTGTAACTTAAGTGGCAGTGTCTTTGGTCAAATTTCTTATGAATTTTGTGTTTTAGACTATTGTTGAAAATGACAATGAAAACATCTATCCTGTAATATTGCTATAAAGAGCTGCTGAAGCCTAGTACTAGAAATACAGAAATTACCAGTACTAAGTAAGTGGTAGTTGCTTATACTTAAGGATGGTAGACTAACATACAAATAGTCAGGGTTCCGCTCCACTTGCAGAGATTGCTGAGTGGCATTCATGTCAGAATATTAAAAGTTCTCATTCTTCTGCACACAAGGGAGTATTATTCAGTCATAAAGAACAAGGAAGTCCCTGCTGGGCATCTGACCAGAGCAGCACTCAACAGGTGCAGCCCAAGGATGGCATTTTTAAAAAGACCCCTGCTGAGTTAGTGGCTTGGTGATCCCAGGCCCTCCATCAGTCACATGCACAGAAAACTCACAGCAAGTATCCTGGGACTATATGCAGAAGCCTAGCTGTGCCGGGAGGAACTGAATCAGATCCACTTAATGTTTAGCAAGTTGGAAATCTGGTTAGAGCCAGAGGCTGAAGACTAACAGACATACATCCCCAGTAAATTTAGTGTTCCCTAGTGAGTACTGCCAGATGCCTGCCCCAAGCCTCCTGCAGTTCATTCTTTGGGGACCCCATCCCCAGAGAGGCGCTGCAGAGTGGGAACCTGGAGAACACTGGAAGAGAACTTAGATTGGGGAACTGGTTTGCTGTCACTTCTACTTCCGGTATGGGTTCAACAGGAGTGGGCTCTGAGGAGAGGCAATACTGCCCTTGCCCCAGTTCTCAGGAGATGGTACTGGCTCTTCTGCAGGTATCTGTATTATCCTTGAGGTCACAACATAGTGAGGACTCTGAGATTATGCCTGGACACCAGATCCAAGACTGAGGAGGTGACTCGGGGTTAGGAAAGGCAGTGAAGGTTAGCCATAAAGGTGACAGCCACAGGCACAGAGAAGACCCAGTGCTCTCTGGTGTTGACTTCTAGGCTGGGCTTGGCAAGCCAGGACTAGTACTCAGGCTTTGGTATGCTGAGGCCTTAAGGCCGGGGTTTGTTTCTTCCCTTTTAAGAAAAATATTATCTTCTGCTGTCTTCCTTTTCCCACCTCTAGACCTTCTTACCCCATCTTTTTGGGTTGGCTTTCCCAAAGAATGTAATAGCTTGGTTTGCATGTGCAGTTGCTCCCTACAAGATGGGACTGTTTTTGACTACCTTTTGGATTTCTTTACCTCCCCTCACTAGTCCCTCTATTACTTTTCCCTTTTTTCCCCTTTCCTTCTTCAAGCCAATACTAATCACTTGATGGAAATTGTCCTTCTGTATGTTGTGAATATGTTTCTCTTATTGGTTGATGAATAAAGGTATTTAAGCCAATAGATGGGCAGGATTTAGCCAGGTGGGAAATCCAAACAGTGATGGAGAAAGGCAGAAGCCATGTAGCAGGCAAGAAAGTAAGACGTCTGACTATCAGTGGTAAGCCAAGACCACGTGGAGATACACAGAATAATAGGAATAGGCTAATAATTAAGAGGGAGCTAGCCAATCAGAAGCCTGAGCTATCGGCCAAATAGTTCATAATTAACATAAACCTTTGTGTCTTTATTTGGGACTAAGTGGCAGCAGGACCATTTAGTCTCACTCTGCTTTCTCTTCCTACTCATACACAATAGCCAACATCTTATTGCATACAGAACTATCAATTTCCCTTACTTCCAAAATTGACTAGCATTTGGTTGTTATTATTTTTATTTGACCATTACTGACTGTATTTCCACAGTGGGCTGACCTATCTCTGATAATGATTGTTTTTGTGAACACTAATCAACCTTCAGGGGAATATTAGGAACTAAGCCTGGTGCCCGAGCATGTGGATAGAGGGTCTAACTACTAAGCTAGACTTGGAGTATAGCAGAAAACAACACCATACATAACCTTATAACTCGGTCACTTTCCTACATTGCAAACACTTCAATGTAGTGTTGATTTAGAGATGATTTAGAGAAAAACCAAACCAAACCAAACAAAAAAACAAAGACTTAACTCCAGATATACAAGTGTAAAGATACAAGAAACATGAAAACTCAAGGCATGATTCCTGCAAAAATCACTTATCCCACAGTAATGTCCTCTAATGAGAGTAATTGTATGAAATCCCAAATAATTAATTAAAAAGAATTATTATAAGTTATGCAAAGATACCAAAGAGGACATAAATAAATGCCTGAATGAATTCTATGAGAACAAAAATAGTTAAGAGAAATAAAGGAGTCTGGGGCTAGGTAGACATGTCTATGAGTGTTTTGCCTGTGTGTAAGTCTGAGCACCCAATGTGTGCCTGGTACGCGTAGAGGTCAGAGGCAGGCACTGGATCCCCAGCAACTGGAGTTATGGATGGTTGCACAGCACCATGTTGGTTGTTAGGAACTGAAACCAGGTCCTCTGCAGGATAAACACTTTTAACTGACGAGCCACCGTTCTAGCCCCATGAAAACATTTCTTTATGTAATAAACTAAAATACAATCACTCCTACCTTTGGGAGGGATTCTTGAACTCTTCTTATCAAACAGTTTTTGTTTTGTTACTTTTGTCACTATTAGAGGAAAAAAAAATAAAACCACCCTTACATTAAGAAGTAACAGAAAGGGCAGTAATGGTTAAGCTTGCTGAGCAATTATAAGAATTAGAATGTGTGTCTCTGCACCAAAATCTTGTACATGACTGTAATCCCAACTCTTAAGTAGGGTGGGGACAGGAAGATGCCTAAGACTTGCTGGCTTCTAGCCTAATGAGAAAACACGTAAACCCCAAGCTCAAGGAGAAACCTGGATTCACAGGAACAGGCAGTTCACAGGATACTCCATGTCTGTACACAGGTGTACATAGCACCTGCAGACATACTTAAAACATATGTTCCTCAATACAAACATAAAGACACACAATCTTTTTTCTAAACAGCTGACGGAGAATACTTGGGTGTGTAATCCCAGCATTCTCAAGAGGCTGATAAATGAGGATTGCTGTAACTTTAAGAACAGTCTGGGCTACACAGTGAATTCCAGGACAGCCTAGGCTATGAACAAACATGGACTATGAATGAATAACTCCTTATTATTTGGAAAAAGTGACTCTTTACGAAAAAAAAAGTAATTCAAAGTGATACATATTATAGGTATCAAGCACAAAGCGGTACCCTCTTACTCTCTTACTTTGAAAATGAGATAAATATAAAGGAAGCCTGATAGTGGTCTACAATGAGCAATCTGTTCTTCCACATCCAAGAGGAAATTCATAAAACAACACATCCTGGTAAAGCACACATATCTCCTTTTCTAAAGAAAGTACTTCTATCTAGACAGCATTGGTTATGTGTGATCTATCTGACAGGAACTTGAGAAACAGTAGAAGGTTTATCTCTAAAATCACTAACATTAAAATACAGGGCTCAGTGGTTAAGAGCACTGGCTGCTCTTCCAGAGGTCCTGAGTTCATTTCCCAGCAATCACATGGTAGCTCACAACCATCTATAATGGAATATGGAATCCGATGCCCTCTTCAGGCATGCAGACAGACATGCAAACAAAAAACCCATATACCTAAAATACATAATTTAAAAAACTCTTTAAAAATCCATTAATCTTTCTTACTTAGTTCTCTGGTTTTCTCCACTTCTCCTTTTAAGAAACATGGCGCTAGGGAAACACCAATGAGATCTTCAAGTTGTCTGTTGTTCTCCAAAGCCTAAAAAGAAAACTATTTTTAGTGTGTTAAGTGACTTCTCTACAACTACAAAGGAAATACAATACATTGTATTGTTCATTTAAAAAAAAAATCTTAAATTAGAAAATTTGCGTTCTCTTGGTAAGTCAAGTATACCAAGCTCAATAATACTTTTTTTGTTTGTTGTTGGTGGTGGAGGTTTGAGACATGATTTCTCTGGGTAGCTTGGCTGTCCTGAACTCACTCTGTAAACCAGGCTGGCCTAGAACTCTAGACATCTGCCAACCCTGCCCCCTGGGTGCTGGGATTAAGGGAGTACATCATCATGCTCAGTTAAAAGCAGATTTTAAATTATTATTTTTAAAAGACTTAAAATACACCATGTGTGGTGGCACACGCCTTTAATTCTAGCACTTGTGAGGCAGATGTAGGTGGATCTCTGAGGCTAGACTGGTTTATATAGTAAGTTCTAGGACAGCCAGATCCACATAGTGAAACCCTATCTCAAACAAACAAAAAAAAACCTTAAAAAATAATTTATAAAATTACTTTTAAATGCAAAAATCTCAGCTATTATTAAAATATTACAGTTGATCAGCATGTATTATAACCAAGGTGATTCCCATGAGAAATAAATTAAATATATACTATGCAAACTCTTGGCTAGACTGGATTCTCAAATACAGGACTTTTTTTTTTTATCCTTTTCAAAACAAATAGTGGAGGTCTGAAAATTATATGTGAGAAAAGTGCAAACCTGTATACTTCTTAAATTTTTCATTATCTCCATGGTTTTTTCTGATGATCTCTCAATTTTAGATAGCAACACCATGAATCTAGGAATGAACAGACAAGCATAGTTACTAAGAATAAGCACGTAAATGTGTCAGGTCACAGGGCTGTAATTCTATTCTAAGAGACAGATTCTGTTCTCTAGCCCTTTCTTCAAAGTCAAAGAGGTAACATATGTAAATGTTCTCCCTTCATGTTGACATCCCTTTATAAGCACAACGCACACTATTAATCGTCCTCCCAGAGTCTACTCTCCCCTGCTCCCGCTCCCATTCCCACCCTCAGTGGGAGGGGAGACATAGCTGCCTCTTTCCTTCCCATACATCCTTCCTAAGTTAATATTCCATTGTTCACTTACCATGGTTGAGACTGCAGGACAGTGCTGACTACGAACTTAAAATAATGGCTTGCGTAGTTCAGTGTGAAAAAGATACAAAGGCAATCTCTTAAATTTGAAATAAGAGAAAAAATAATCTACTTACATTCTACCTTGTGATCTTACTAATCAGTAGGTTGGAAATTTTTTTTTCTTAGGATTTAACTTTATTTTTGTAAATTTAAATAAGTGGTTCTCAATCTGTGGGTTGTGACCCCCTTGGGAGTCACATATCAGATATCCTTCATATCAGATATATACATTTGGAATCGTAACAGTAGCAAAATTACAGTTATGAAGTAGCAATGAAGTAAGTTTACGGTTGGCGGTTACCACACATGAGGAACTGGTACTAAAGGGACACAGCATTAGGAAGGTTGAGAACCACTGGTTTTAAATCATGCTTTCTTTACTTAACATAACAAACTTTTGGGGGAGAGGGAAGTTTTGTTTTCTTTTTTTGAGAAAGGGTGCCAAAATGTAACTCTGGTTGGGTTGAAAAGGGCTATGTAGACCAGGCTAGGCTCAAATATGTATGAATTCTCTTGTTTCTGCTTCTAGGCATGGATCACTACACCTGTTTAACTTTTGAGGGAGTGCACTCACCCTAAGTATAATTTCAAGGGCTGAATAATATGCTACCAAATAAACAAGCCAAAGATGACTTAATTTCCTCATTGTCATAATTTCAGGTTTTTCTCTAATTTTATGATTTCCTCACTATCTAATGTAAGTCACATATACACTTTTCTAGTAGTTGCACTAGAAGGAATAAAAAATACTTAAAATTTAATGACATTATTTGGCTCAAGATATTCAAAGTATATACTACATAAACATGTAATTAATACAAAGATTCCTGAGATACCTTTGTATTTTTCACATCTGGTGTGCATTTACACTGAAACATCTCATTCAGACTAGCCACATTTCAAACGCTTTTTAGCTACATGACTGTTTCAGAGAGCACAAACCTATAGCATTGACTTCATTAGGAAGCAGAGTTTATTGAAAAGCGTTTCAAGATTATATCAGTGTCGACACACTAAAATTTATGGGTTATTAAAGACAAATAAATGATAGGTTAAAATTTCCACACACAGCACACAGTATGTTTAAACTAAGCAGGATACATGCAATAATAGCAACAAAGACTATAGACATGACAACATACTCCAAAAAATGAAGCTTATTAGAGGACAGAGGAATTATGGATGATATTTTCTTTAAAAATTTACTGTATTATATGAATTTCAATTAGAAGCCATCTATCTTGTGGCACATTTGCTTAATACTGAAACCTAAGTTTGAGATGGGAGTCCAAATCCTGAAGGCATAGGGGACTTTCAGGTGCTTGCACACATGTGACCAAGGACTATGAATGTGGCCCAACACAAAATCAAACTTACATCCAACATGAGATTCCTTTTAGAATTTTTATTTTGTAAAACAATTACACAGTTCTCAAATGTGAACTTTGTAGATACAATGTTATATGATAATACCAAAAGGATACATATCTAGAGCCTAGCCTCCAGTAATGCAAAGTGCAGACAGGTATGCCACTTTACTAAAGGGACATCTGGGGTCTTGTTTCTTGTGGCTTTTTTTCTGGGGAAAATACTGTTCTGCCACACCTTAAAAAGTGATGCACCTTCTTGTTGACCTTAAGGGAGTGGTGTGGGTAGGGTTGAGCCCTGAGGTCTGCTACCTTAAAAGCTATAAGGGTTTTCTCAAAAGAGTCAGATGTACATGAGTCTCCCAGGAATTACACAGTGAAATATCCCAAATGGACCTAGCACCTTACCCAAATTAAGGCAGTAACTGAGGATCTCTGGGTTGAAGTTAGCAATTCAACTCTGACCCCACCCCAATATATATACAGTGGGGAGCAACTAAGAACGGCACCCAATGGCAACCTTTGGCCTCTGCACGCATGCATGTGTAAACACGTGTGCATGCAAGCACACCGTACATTTAACAACATAAATATAAAAAATTAAGTTGCTGATAGTTTAGAAAGAACATCTGGAAACAGTTTATCAGTGGGAACTCTTGTTTGTAGCTGTAATACACCTTTATGACTTACCATCAATCACGTAGTGAATTTTAAAATGTGTAAAATGGCGTACCAACGTGTGGCTCGGGTACTCATTTAGAGCTTGAGAAAGCTGGAAAAAAGACATGGCTCCTTTAAGAGGCACTGCTGTTCAGCCAGCAGTGCTTAATAGAAACTAGAAATGGCAAGCTAAGTAAAAGCCACTTGCAGCAACGCAGGTGCCAGCTTCCATAGCTAGAAAGGTTTAATGCAGATCTCCGTCATGAACCTCCAACCGGACTGTGAGCTCTAGGCTTGGCTTTCCTGACCTGAGAAGAGGACGGAGCCAGATGGTATTGCTGCACGAGGAGAACCCAGATGCAACTTAACAGTTTAAAGTTTGCTCATGCAGTCAAAAAAGGCTGGATACGCAGTAAAAGAGATCCAGACAGAAAAACCTTCAGACAGGTTCACTGTGTTCTACAATGAGCATAGGCTTAAGAAAGAAAGAAAATGGGTGTGGATGGTCATAGAAAGAAATAAATAGTTTAAAATAATAAAATAAAGTCTTTAAAGAGAGAGTAAAAATAAAAAAAGAATAAGCCATTCATAGATGGGAATTACACAAGGAGTCTGGATCCTGTGTGCTATTGTGTTGATTCTGAATTTTTAATTGAAAAATGGACTGTGGAAATAAACCAGCCTATATATGTTAGGAATGCCTTGATTTTAAAAAATATTAAAATAAACAAACCCAAAAACACATTTTTCAAATGGAAATCAAAAATGCTTTGCCAAAAGCAAGATGGGATGTTCCTTCAGTGTTCCTGTGTCACAGAAGAAGCTACTAGACATTGTGAAGGGTATAGAAGAAAGTGACTGACAAACTGGCAGTATGGGTGGGACAGTCTTTCAGATTTTCTGCTTCATTGAAAAGTCTGCCAGATACTACAGGCCTGTAGGCTGAAGATGGATTCCCCAATCCTACCCAAAGGAACTTTGGGTAATTGTCCAGGCAGGCAGATGTCTCTGTCATTTCTAGAGTTTTTAGAAGTTGTTTGCAATTCATTTTTTGCTTAGTTCTAGTGCCTTTGATGGAGTTGAAGACTGGGTAATTATAGTTGCAGTTTTCCTTAGATATGGTCGAAAGTAAGTTAGGCATAACACTTTCATTAAGATAGGTTAGATAATGCGTTATTTTCTCTGAATATGATAACTATAACTGGACAGAATATTGTAAATTAATTCTTACTTGATAACTGTTTTATTATTTAGATCTAAAGGGGGAAGTGTGGTAGAATATTATTTTAAGGTATGTGGCTTTTTTTTTATGCTGCATTTGTTTAACTCTGTGAAGCTGTGTTACTGTGCCTGTCTAAAACACCTGATGGCCTTAATGGAGAGCTGAATAGCCAATAGCGAGGCAGGAGCAAGGACAGGCAGGACTAGCAGGCAGAGAGTATAGATAGAAGGAGGGACAAGGAAGAGGGGCAACTAGAGAACAAGGGGAGAAGGATGTTAGGGGTCAGCCACCCTGCCACCCATCCAGCCACGGAGTAAGAGTGAAAGTAAGAGTTACAGAAGTAAGAAAAGGGAAAAGTCCAGAGGCAAAGGGTAGATGGGATAATTTAAGAAAGCTGTCTAGAAACACCCCAAGCTAAGGCTTGTTGCTCTTGAAGAGATTTGAGTTCAGTTCCTAGTTCCCACATGGTGGCTCACAACTGCATGTGACTCCAGTTCTAGAGAATCTGCCTCTTCTGACCTCCTCAGGCACCAGGCACACATGTGCAAAACTCTCATACACATAAAATAAAATACACAAATCTTAAAAAAAAAAATCTTAAAATGTGTATAGTGAATTTACAATGAATCTATAATGATTCCAAAGTAGCTTGATGAACATTCTGGAAACAGGCACCTTGAACTTCCTTTTTCCATGCCTCTCTACACTACATGTGTGCAAAGGAAAAAACAAAGAGGGATTATTGCCACACTACTTTAAGATAATTTAGAACTAACCCATAAATGTGTTCCACTTAAATTTGAGATTTAAAAACAAAACATCAAGATAGTGGATTTCCAAAATAGGAAGAGAAACATTAAAAATAGATCTCAGACAAGAATGGTAAATTTTAAAGTAGAAAAATAATTTTAATATGAATTATTTTATGTATTTCAAAGTATCTCCACTGAAATTAAGTAATTTCAACACTAAATGGTGTGGTTTTCAGAAACAAGAGTTGACAGAAATTAACAAAATAAATTAAACAAATTCTAGCCTCCACCGCCACGATGAATTTCTACACCTAAAGACAAAGCATTTTATCATACACATAAACATAAATCAATCTTTAAAAAAATTGAAAAAAAAAGTAAAGAGCAAAACACTTTGCTGGGTTGGTGACACGGTTCAGGGGATAAAGGTGCCTGCCAATGAGCCTGGTGGCTTGAGTTCAATCCTTGAGACTCATTTGATGGAAGGAGAGAACTGAGTTCTGGAGGCTAGCCTGTGACCTTGACAGCACACCATGGAAATGCTTTACACACACACACACACACACACACACACACACACACACACACACAAACTAAAAAATGTAATAACGAATTTTAAAGAGCAACACTTTGTAAATATTATATTTGTGGGGTAGGAAAGCCTAGAACATGAACACATTTGATGGCAGGGAGCATGTGACTAGGGAAGAGCACCCCTAAAACAAGTAAAGAGGTTCTGTAGGAGACGCAAGCAAGGATTCCCAGAGCATCACCTTCATCACTACAGTGTTTAAACAGCACTCAGTAACCAGTACTAGTAGTCACTTACATTATGAAACAAATGGCATCCGATCTGATGTAAAGTGAAGTTTCCATCCACTTAGGTCTCATGGTCTTTCTTACGTTGTAAGTTAATATATCCTCCTCAACTTAGAAATGAGTTACTTTGAAAACTACAGCTTCTAACACCATTGGAATGGAAAATGCATCTGAGTTCTATTGTAGGGTATTTTGATCACATTCTGACACTCCTGAGATTTACACTTAAGTTTACCTTGTCTCAGAGGGCAGTGCTAGCTTCTAGCTGACAAAATTAGCCATAGAGGTTTTGGAGGACTCATTACATATAGAGAGACACAGGAAGTAGAAGGGAGGGGCTTAGAAAGCGCCACCCTTCTGGATAGAGAAAGGGGAGAGAGAGGATGTCGCTGGTAGCCTCCCCACTGCTCTTCTGGTCAAGTGGGTTCTTATCCAGATATCTGACTCCGAGTTTTTATTGATAAAGAATAACTAGATAAATGCTTTATTGTTCCACGTAAATGATTTAGAAAACATTTTTCAGTATAACTCATTTCTAAGTTGAGAAGGATATATTAACTTACAACATGAGGTCTAAACTTCACTTTACACCTATGGAAATCACTTTGTAAATGAGATGAACACATAAGCCACTCTGACTAATTCAGTTATTACAGGTGACACAAATAAATATTATTTCTAGGACATACAGGATTTCTGTTTAAAAAAAAGAAAACTTTTATTAAAAGGCACGACAGCAGAGCAATGTGCTTAGAGCCCTCTTTATCTGCCCCCCCCCCCATGCATTAGTATTAAAATCAAGTACTACACATTCCCACTATATAAGCACTGCAAGACACCACAAATGCTTTACTTAACAACAAGGAAAATTGAAGACATGACAAAGGTGGACAAGGCTCGTTATGAAAGAGAAATAAAAACCTACACCCCCCCCCCAAAGGGGAGACCAAAAAGAAGTTCAAGGACCCCAATGCCTCCTTCAGCCTTCTTATTGTTCTGTTCTGAGTATTGCCCAAAAATCAAAGGAGACCACCCAGGCTTGTCCATTGGTGATGTTGCAGAGAAACTGGGAGAAACGTGAACAAGCAGCCCTAGGAAAAGAAGGCTGCCAAGCTGAAGGAAAAGTACGAAAAGGATATTACTGCTTTCAGAGCTAAAGGGAAACCCGATGCAGCGAAAAAGGGGTGGTCAAGGCAGAAAAGAGCAAGAAAAAGAAGGAAGAGGAAGATGAGGAGGAGGATGAAGAGGATGAATAAGTTGGTTCTAGCGCAGTTTTTTTTTTTTTTTTTGTCTATAAAGCATGTAACCCCCCTGTACACAATCCACTCCTTTTAAAGAAAAAATAAATGAAATGTAAGGCTGTGTAAGATTTGTTTTTAAATTGTACAGTGTCTTTTTTTGTATAGTTAACACACCACCGAATGTGTCTTTAGATAGCCCTGTCCTGGTGGTATTTTCAATAGCCACTAACATTTGCCTGGTACAGTCTGGGGGTAGTAATTGGCATGGACATTTAAAGCAGGTTCTTGTTGGTGCACAGCACAAATTAGTTATATATGGGGACAGTAGTTTCTTTTGGTTTTCTTTTTGTTTATTTGTTTGTTTTTTTGTTTTGTTTTTTGTTTGTTTTGGGTTTTTTTTCATCTTCAATTGTCTCTGATGCAGCTTATACGGAGATAATTGTTCTGTTAACTGAATACCACTCTGTAATTGCAAAAAAAAAAAAAAAAAAATTGCAGCTGTTTTGTTGACATTCTGAATGCTTTCTAAGTAAATACAATTTTTTTTATAAAAAAGTTAAAAAAGAAAACCATATTCAATAAATAAATGTGTAGATAGAATGATTCAGCCCAGTATAAACTAATTTATAAAACTAAATTATTTTTTTAAACTGTCACTTTAAAAGAGGTCATGCTTTTCCTGAACGATACTCAGTGGCTCTAACTTCAAAACCAAGCTTACTCGTCACTGTCTTTTGCTGTGGATTCCTTTCTTGCAGGTGAGCTGATGTTATTCCATTTTCTCTTTCCTGTATGAGTGCAACAAAGAAAAGAACACAACATTAAAGAGACAATTGGCCAAATTTTAATTGATTAAAATGCCAAACTTTAGCTACCTATAATTCCACCACTTGAAAGACAGATGCATTTCAAATGACATGCATCATTTGACACAACTTAAAAACAAGCACACAACAAAATGAATTTAGATTGTTGAATTTCAAATAGGAAGTGAAGGGGAAAAAACAAAAATTAAGTGAGAAAGAAAAGGTACCCTGTTTTGGTTTTTTATTTCCTTTCTTTAAAAAAAAAAAAATCTTGACCAAAAGTTAATATCTTGAATTTTGTAGTATACTGTGTATACTCAGTAAAGTTCCAAAATCAAATATTAAAATAAATTCTGTAACTTGTAATTTATTTTCACATTTTAGCCCAAGTCAGCATCAGCCTAGATTATATCACTAAATTTTTTTATCAGGTGTCTAATGCCTTTCTAAATATTTTTATTGTTGTATAATAATAAACCATATATTAGCCAATATATGGGTCAATAAAAATCTTGGTTTTTTTAGGTCTTTAAGTGCTTTTTCAATTAATAATTAGGACTTTAAATATCTCTCAAAAATACATTTTTCAGTTAATAGTTCTCTTCATTTCATTCTACTTAAAAAGTAGATACAATATATGCCTCACTTGGTGGCACACACCTCTAATCCCAGCACTCAGGAGACAAAGGCAGGCAGATTGATGAGTTCAAGGCCAACCTTATCTATGGAGTTGTGTTCCAGACAAGGGCTACACAAAGGAAACCTGTCTAGAAAACCAAAACCAAACAAACCCCCAAAAGGAACACAATATATATTAAAGGAATATGGAATCATATCAGCATTTTTCTTTTTAGGTTACATACACATGTTTTAACATTTGTGTTGTTGACTTTTTTTTTTTTTTTTTTTTTTTTTTTAAGTACAGCTTTACAAACCACTGACTATAAGTCTGTTATCACTGAATCTGCACTACATTCAGAACTGTATTTGAAGATTCTGGTAGGGATCCAGGGAACATTTTCCTTAACTAATGAAAATAGCTTTCAGTGGACAAGATTTGAAAGCACAATTAAAGGTGAGGACTACAATGCTTAACATATGGCACTTATTAGGGCCAGCTACTGTTTAAGCAAGTTATACAAAATAACCTAAGCTGGGCATGGTGGTGCATGCCTGTAATCCCGTACTTTGGAGGTAGAGGCAGGAGGACCAAAAATTCAAAGTCAGCAATGGCTCAGCATGACTCAGTGTGGAAAGATAACAAGAGCTGCTAAAACATATGGGAAGAAAAATGGGTATGTACTTGATGGATGAATGGCTTTTACGATCTCAATAAGGGTTTCCAGGGTCAAGAAGATGGTTCAGTGGGTCAAAGTGCTTGTCACACAACCCTGACGATTTGAGTTCATGCAAAAAGTAGGGTGTGGTGGTGCACATCCAGGACCTCTCCTGGTGAGAAGAGGTAGAGAGAGGAGAATTGCTCTGAAACTTACAGCCCACCTAGCTCAGAGAATATAGCCCAGCAGCAGAAACAATGTAGCAAGAAGGAAAGTGAGAATTTATGCTCAAAAGTTGCCCCCTGACCTCCACATTCGAAATGTGAGACTTGAACATGCAAAATCTAAAATAAGGGTTTGGGGTTTATTATCAAGTCTAATGAGAAGCAAGTAGAAATAAAATGTTTCTAAATATTGTGTAAATTTCCCATTAGAGTATGAACAATATTTTAAAAGGGGGAAAATAGTAAAGGAGGTCATGACCCCATCTGAATTTTAAAGTAGTTTATAAGTTATATTTTCTAACTTGGAACTTATAGCTGATAATGATTAGGCTATCTTGTTTCTAAAGCAAGCAGAAAACTTATTAGGATTGGGAGTATGATTACAAATGATGTGATCTAATTCAGGACCTTAAATTTTTATATGTGATTTGTGTATCTATATATGTATATACATATACACATACACACAAACCTACCAGAGTATTAAACAACACATCCACTTGAAATAGTAACTACAGTGAATCAGTAATCACCACATATGTAAAACCTAGACTATTGCTAGCACCTCAGAAACCCTTGCAATTTGACTTTTTAAAAAAGAGCATACTTAGTAGCTATAATGTGATAATTACCCATAATTATCCATAAATGTCAGTGAAATCATGTGACCAATCTTTTTATGGGCAAAGGAATGTTCCCTTAAGTCCATATTTAATTTCAATATGGAAATTGAGTATGTATCAATTTAAAAATCTATTGAGATATTATTCATAGAGATATGCAATCTCTAAGCTACTACCTTTTAATTAAGAAGATACATCAAGTATATAAAACTATAGAAAACAAACATAATACTGATAGCTTTAGGATTAAACTAAAATCAAAGACACTCAAAAGCTTAATACCTTATATGTTTATTTAAATAAATTAAGTAAAATGAGACCAATTTCTTTATAGATTTTAGTATATGCTTAACATCCAATAAATGCTAAAGAATAAAATATAAATTAGGCTAGTCACAGCATATCTAAAATATATTTTATTAAATTTGAGCCTATTTAAAATTTTATATTACAGAAAATGATATGTCACTGATTCATGACCTTTTATTAAGTATATGAAATTAACATTTATGTCTTTAAATATAGCAGTAACTACTAGAGAACAACAAATATGTATGGTCAGAATTAAATGAAGACTATTTTAAAATAATGATTTAATATAAAAATTCAATTATTCTATAAGGAACATTTTTATAGCTGAACTACAACAGATGTACACTACATAAACATATACTAAATGTGGATAAAGCTAAATGGACAATATGGATAAAAATAACATTTAGAAGTACCCCTCTTAAACTGCAGTGTGACAATACCTGAGTTATATGCCCTTTAATTTATGCACATGATGGATAGCTTGTTAAGGGCATATCTGTAACCATTATAATTGATAGTAGCTGAAGGCAGTCAGGCTATAATTTCTATTTAATGGATGGGATAGTGAGGGAACAGCAGTAGCATTTTAAAATAAGTGCCTACAAAGTTTACATTTATGTCCAAAGTAACATTTACATTCTAGCCTTTCCTATGTTAAATTCCTCGAGAAGAGAGGAAAACCAGCTGCAACAAGAGCTATATATTACTAAATCAAAATCTTGATTTAACCAATACCTAGAAGAATCTTACCATAAGTGGAAAAGAATGTTCAACTAACCATTTGATGGTCCGTTTCCACACTTTTGTTCTTTTCGGGTTGAGGGAGAAGAAAATGGGCTCATTTGATAAGTTCCAGTTGTTGGAGAATAAGCTGTAATACTTTTCTTCCTTCTGATTTTTGAAGGATTAAATGACTAGAAATAAATAATAATTTGGAAGAGAAGTACTTACTTTTAGTTACAGATCTTTGAAAATACCTTAAGTAGCTCAGGAAAATGCAAATTAACACCACTTTTCTTGCTCAGATTTTGAATGTATTTATCACCTTCAAAGTAAACATTATTTCTCTCAAATGAGGTAGATATTTCAGATCTCCACAATAATTAGGGTATCTCAATCTGGTATTTATGAAAATTTGACATGAAACATTACTAACTGCTGATATGTGTCCCAACAGCTGTAGAGATGAGGAGTCTGGTCTTCACTTTGTCACTGCTAATATGCAATATGTAATGTGCATGTAATTATGGGACCTGACCAGGGAGCTCTCAGAGGCGCTTCTCACTAAGGCCACAAGGAAATTCCAGGAAAGCCCAGTGCTCTCCTCAGCCTACCCACACTTCTCTGTCAATGCTCTGCCTTACAGATCACAAGTCAGTATCTGAACAACCAAGCCTGCCACTTATGCCCTCTTAAGCATTTGGCCTGTACTACCCAACTCCCTGAAGCTTTCTTCTTTGTATTCTTCTAAGCAAATGTATTTTGGTAATATTTTAACCCATGTCTAACCCATCAGAATTTGTTCCTGAAAATATGATTTATCTTTGTACATCAGGGAACAAAAACATGTTTAAGAAATGAATGACCTAAGAGAAAAGGTGGCCATTCTACTCTATTCAAAATACTCATTTGTTCACTGGTTCATCTATGAGCCAGCACCTACTATTTCCATTAGTAGATTATGCACAAGCGGGCCTTAAATCAGTCTATAATCTTAGCTCAGAATGTTATCTCTTATCTTTCCCAGAGGTATTCTTTCTTTAGACTAGGTCTCCAACTCATTATTTACTTTCTCTAAATATCCACTATTGTTTGTTCCTGAATCCCTCTAAGCCTTGTTTTCCATGATGCTTACTGATCACTTAACTAATGTGCATAAGGAAACATAATGAAGGACTAAGAAGATAAATCAGCACCAGACTTGTGTTCCTGTCTCCAGAATCCACATAAAGGCAGATGAAATAAAACCCATCTGTAATACCAGCAATCTTATGGCAAGACAGTAGATGGATATGAGAATCCCGCAAACATGAGGACCTAAGTTCAGATTCCCACAGCCCACATAAAGCCAGATCCGACAGCACAAGTCTGCAATCCTAGTTTTTCTATAGCAAGATGGGAAGTAGAGATAGAAGACTCTCTGTGGGTCAGCTAGCCTGACAAACAGTCACCAACAAGGGAATCAATCTCAAACAAGGTAGACTGTTGTGGAATATTACTTTAACTATGTAAAGATGTGTTGCATTTGTTTTACCTTGCCTGCTTAAGGCACCTAATTGGTCTAATAAAAAGGTGAATGGCCAATAGCTAGGCAGTAGATGGATAGGCAGGGATAGCTGGTGCAGAGAGTAAGTAGTGGGAGGAATCTAAATTCCAGAGAAGAGAGAATGAGGGAGAATGGGAGACACATAGGGCCAGACAGCCAGGCACACATGGAATAGGGCATACAGAGTGAAAGGTAAAATGCCCTGAGACAAAATGAAGATGAAGAGAAATAGGGTAATTTAATTTAAAAGAGCTAGTGGGACAAGCATAAGCTAAGGCCAAGCATTCATAACTAATAATAACTCTCTGTGTCATGATTTGGGAGCTGGTTGGTGGCCCAAAAGTCTGCTACAGTACGTGAAAACCAATACTCAAGGTTGTCCTCTGACTTCTACACATGTATTGTGGCATGTATGCATACACACACACACACACACACACAGAGAGAGAGAGAGGGGGGGGAGGGAGAGGGAGAGGGGGAGGGAGAGGGAGAGATGGGGAGGGACTGAAAAAAAAAAAGATAAATTCTTATGGCCTCAAAGAGTGTCTGCTAGAGTTGAACAAACCAGAGATGAGGTTTTAGGTTAGTATACATGTTAGAGAAATTCAGAAAGAAAGGAACAATAAAAGTAGACTACAGTAATCTGATACAGAAAGATAGGAAAGACGGGGCTGAAACAAGAGACAAGGTATTACAGGGAGTTGGGAATGTAGTTCAGTTGGCAGAACACTTGCCTACAAAGCCCTGATTTGAGTCCTAACACTGAATAAATTGGGAACAACGGTGAATACCTATAAACCTCAGCAATCAGGAGGTGGAGGCAAAGAATGAAAGACATCCATGGCTACACCGTGCATATGAGGCCATCTTGAGAAACATAAAACCCTACCTCAAAAAGAAAATAAAAAGAGGCACAAGAACCTGAAATCAAGAGCACTGAGTACATAGGATGAACTCAGAGAATAAAGGGAAGGCTTCAAGGCTCAGATACTGTCAACACTGTGGAACAACTTTAGCTTGGAAGCTGTTGTCAAGCAGTTACATAACTCTCTATGATCAACTGTCCTTTAATACACCCAGGGCTGTGTCACCTTTAAAAGTAACCTTGGTATTTGGTCTAGAAACTATGGGATCAAAAATTTTTATAGTTAATATTTTAAACGATATATGTTTCCTTGGGTGGAATAAAAGACATTTATTTCCTATATCTATAATAGCTAAAATTGTAAGCAATATCTTAAAAAAAAACCAAACTCCAACACTTGTACCATTATATCTCAAATGCAATCCATCCTGTAGGATGAAAGTGTTCTAAGTCTCTTTACCAGGGAGTTACCATTACCTCTCCATATTGAGTTTCACCTGTTTATATGTATTTAGTCATAAACTATGATATTTACCCAAGCCCTAGTCAACTTTTCCAAGAATTTACTGCCTAGAATGATTTCACTGTGTATGTACAAAGAATGAAAGTTACTGCCCTGTTGCACATTTATGTCCATTTGTTTTCCTATTTTCACCAAAAAGTATTTTATACAATTGCCAAATGTCTAAACATTGCAACTGTAGATAATATATTTCTTTTTGAAAACAGCTTTCAGGAAAACTCTCTCTCTCTCTCTCTCTCTCTCTCTCTCTCTCTCTCTCTCTCTCTCTGTGTGTGTGTGTGTGTGTGTGTGTGTGTTTCATACCAAGAATTTCCTCCTCTGTCACTACAGATCCTTAGAAGGAAAAATGTTTATAACTACCACACAGAGAAAACTAAAACCCTACTTTTGCCTACTCTCTCACTAAAACTTCCTTTAGCTATCACACATCTTAGTATGCTGTCATATTGTGTGCATAAACTTTCCCAAATGCTTCTTTTCCTCAGTTTTACCATGGTCCTCTAAGATGCAGAAAAAAGCAATCCTAAGAACTCCATCTGACATCATCCATGCTCTGAGGGACTTACACATTACCTCTGATAATGAAAAGAGATCAAGAGAGACTGAGTTACTAATTACGAGGTCAGCTAGAAGAGTGCCATTTATTGTTCCCCTTAAGGGGAAAAAAAAACAAAAACAAAAGGTGAGAGGATTAGAATCAGCTAGAAAAGGCAAAGGATTCAGGATGCAAACAAAATGCAGTAGATGCCGCACCCAATTCTATAATAATTTATATCTGCTTCGGATATTTACTGACACCTTAAAGATGTTTAACACTACCATTAAACAAAGACTGTGTTCTGAGATTTAGTCTATTATCAGCCCTATTGCTACTACTGTACTTTCCGCTAAGAGGTCAAACCTTTTATCTTAGCAAAACTAAATTCTGAACATAGATCTTTCTGCTAAAAAAGAATCAATGCTCTCTCTATAATTTCCAATAGATGAAGCATTTGCCTTTGATACTCTTCATGAATTGTAGCTTGCTTTGTCACCTTGTTTAAAGCACATTCAACCAAAAAGGTGCCTGCATTTTATTGATTTTGTACCTCTTACAAACAGTCTAGAAAGTACTAACTAAGGGTTCTTTTACAATGAAACATGGGCTATAAAATTATTATTATGAACTATTAGCTGCTATCACTAGGATACTTAAAACAGGTATTACAGGCATCCAGATAACCAAAAAAGAGTAGCTGAACGAAAATCAGTCTTTTGTCTCTTTGTCCTTTTAAAACAGGGTCTGGCTAACCCAGGTTGGTCTTGAACTCATGATCTTCACTCCTCAGCCTCATCAGTGCTGGGATTACAAGTGTGTCACCATGCCTGGGTGGATAATTATTATTAAGCTTACTCTGGTTGATAAGGCTAGTAGAACATCTCACCTATGATATTATTATGGCATACTACCGGCACTAGTTTGGAATTTATATTGGGAAACTATGAACAGTAATTGCGTTAGGTGATTTTCATTTTGGATCTACGATTTCCGAGCTGTCACAATTATCACTCTTAATGGTACTAGAGACTCTGAGATTTTGCTGTTGCTTTTATAGTAACTACAGGGAAGAAAAGGACTTTGCACTTATCTGGTAATCTTATAGGGTTGTCAGGGAAAGAATCTGAATACCCATGTGCACGAGGGGGTGGGCAAGGTGGCACACCTCTTTAATCCAAGCACTTGGAGGCAGAGCTAAGTATATTTCTAGGAATTAGAGGTCAGCCTGGTCTACACAGTGAGTTGCAGGACAGCTAAGTGAGACCCTGTCTCAGTGCGTGTGTGTGTGTGTGTGTGTGTGTGTCCACTATATTAGATTTATGACAACAGAAACATTCCATCACTTGATAAGTTGTTTGATACACAGGGTATATTTACTGCTAAAAACATTAAATGTGCACACAAACCTACAAATTTAATTATATATAAACTTAACATTAAAAATTTTGAAGCAAAGTAAAACTTTGGCTGAAGAAGCTGTTGTACTGTATTTATTTACTTATTTATTTTGTTTGTAACACAGGATATCACTTTGTAGACCATGTCAGACTGGAACTCACTACCTAGCTCAGGACACTTCCAATCCAGAAATCCTCTTTGCTTTAGCCTCCCTAGTACTGGGATGAGTGACAGGCACTACCATGATTGGCTGTATAAATTTCCTTTAAATCTCATTAACTAGTCTTCTGCAACTTATTTCCTTTTTTCATTTAGTTCGTGTGT